TCCATTGTTTATATTAATAGTAACATAATTTATTATAGTCCTTAATTATTTAATTGCCTGAAGGACCATTTGTTCTGGAATGTGAAGATAAACTGGCAAGTAATCACTTAGTCAGTTATCTACATATATGGTACAGTACAGCACCTTAGCTTTAACAATTTTCCTTCAGAAGTAAAATTATTTTGCTTTTACACCTATGTGGGTATTTTGTGGTATATTTGTCTGAACAGGAATATCAGTGATGGTAATTTATACCTATTAATCCAACTAAGTATGGTTGGGAAACCTAAAGCAGAACTCTATTGTTCAGAAAGGTAATGTGATCTACCTGTACTAGCGATGATCCGGACCTCAGTGCTGTGGGTAGAATTAGAAATTCTGTAGAGGATGCATCGGCCTTGTTGATTTTCTTGTAATCATGTGTTCGCTTTAGTTTTGGTTTTTGCTCACACACACACACACACACACACACATATTGTTTGTACATCACACAGTGTTTGTTGATGTGGTTGGCATGAAGTTGGTAGTCTAAAAGGTTTTCTTGGATGTTCTCCAATTCAAGTTTAGACTCTCTGATAGCTTTACTTGCAATAAACTTGTCTTGAAGCACTATTTATTACTGTATATATAGCTAGAACACCTATTTGTGTTCTGATCTTCATTCAGGGGCACATGTTAATAATTTACAGAGCAGTCTGGCTGTATCCTTAAAATCTTTAATAGGTTTGTTAATTAATTTGCGAACAGTAACTGCTCCTAGAGTCATTTGATATTCACAATCCTATCGTCTCACTCAATCCCATCTTTATTTAGTGGCACCTCCTCCCCTCCTCATTTATTTGAGACATTGGGAGGAATTAGGTTATAATAATTATGAAAAGGGAAAATAAGTGTAATCATTTGATAAGAATGGCTTTGTCCAACATGCAACACTATGGAATAGCTGGCTAAGGAAATGTCCCATTTCCCATAAGCATAGGTAGCAATTGCTCCGGAGTATATTTACTGACTGGAGCGAGACTATAGGAGTAGTTTCCAACTCATGTTGATTGGCTTCGGTGCCATGCCATGGTGAGCGGCTTCAACTGGAATGGCTTCATGTTCTTCTGAGGCAAAGCGAACTGATTTTAAGTTTCTAACTGCAAGGTAGTTTAAATGATCCACGGCTAACCTCTCGTGAAAGCTCTAGGATTGCAGTTGGAAATGTTTGACTAAATGTGACTTAAACCCGTGGCTAACCTCTCGTGAAAGCTCTTGTGGTTTGCTTCAAAGTCAAGTAACCAACGGCTGACCTCTCGTGAAAGCTCTTGTGGTTCGTTCCAAAGTCAAGTAAACCAATGGCTAACCTCTCGTGAAAGCTCTTGTGGTTAATTCTATAGTAGAGTTACCAACGGCCAACCTCTCGTGAAGGCTCTTGTGGTTCGATCTACAGTAAACATGTAACCAACGGCCAACCTCTCGTGAAGGCTCTTGTGGTTCGATCTATAGTAAACATGTAACCAACGGCCAACCTCTCGTGAAGGCTCTTGTGGTTTCGATCTATAGTAAACGTGTAACCAACGGCCGACCTCTCGTGAAGGCTCTTGTGGTTTAATCTAGGTATATAGAAAACGTATAACCAATGGCTCACCTCTCCTGAGGGCTCTTATGGTACGTTTCAAGTGTGTATGTTGCGTACACAATCATTCTCAAGGCTATCCGCTTGTGGAAGCTATTGGAAAACGCCCCACAATGTGGTGTAAGTACCTACAAGAAAAAACTTACCAAACTGACGACAACGAATGCGTCCTCTCGCCGGTTTCGCCCAATTATCCAATTCCTGCATACACTCCATCAGTTTTCCTATCTGCTTGCGACGTTTTCGACCCATTTAGTAGGAAAATCACCAAATTAAATTGAAAAATTTTCCAGGGTACGACGTGACAGGTCGTGCACAAAGAAGTACAATGATGTTGCCAGTGAGATGACCATAGAGTATAAATATTTTTTTTATGAATGTGTTCATCTTTAAATATTGTGACAGCGTGCCCAGATTAGTGCCTACTACTAGTATAATTAGCGAGGATGACGCTACCTATACAATAGATTTTGGATGTTCTTCCCGGCTTGGGTATAGAAGATTATTGTTATGATTATTTTATTAAAAAATAAAGTTGCCCCACACTAGGATATTTTCTGTGTCGTGGGTGCGTTTACAAACATACAAGTTCACATACACATGACACCCAGACCCGGAACAACAATTTGTGGATCGAACCCGCGACACGTTGCACGGCAGCTGGTTGCCCAGCCACTACATCGACCATGCAAACATGTTTTTCACCTTGTTCAAAAAAAGGAGGAGGTTCTATGTTTGTTTGATTGTTTTTTCGATGTATTTTCACCAGTTCCATTCTTGCCCAGTGCCTCTGTGCCGGGGTTACGGCAGGGAAATAAATAAGCTGTAACAGTGTATGTCCTGTAACGTAATCATATTAGGACTACAGCACTAAAGTAATTACTCCGGTCTGGCACACACGGCCACATCAAGTTGAACAAAACCAGTATAAACTGACCGTTCAATATGCGGAAAGATCATACAAAGCGAGGTTATAATAAATTGGTCTTGTGTAGTTTGATTTGTCGTAGTACGAGATTGCTCTCCACGTGTTGGACTTCTCTGTCTGTCCCTCAGTGTACAGATTGTACAGTTAATGTAATTATATCATTAAGTCCAGAATAGTATGTTGAGTCAGTTCCGTACAGCTGTAGCGCGGAAGGAGTAAATACCAAGGGTAGGTTTCACAACGCTATTGGTATTAACTATCTTATTTTTTGTACTTTATAGGTCAGCGTTTTTTTTAAAGTCAAAGTCAAATTCAAAGCACTTATTTCAATTAAACCATAATTTGGTATATCGTCAACAAATACAAAATAAATAATAGTCTGTCAGTCAGTCCGTCAGTAAAGCTAGGTGTTTGGTATAACTATCTCGTCTGGTGGTAAGCGATGATGTGGCCGACGATGGATCACGCCCATCTATAAGCAACCTATCAACTCGGGACTTAAAGACACCCGGGTTCTTAGGTATTCCACTTAGCGGTTCGCATAAGGAAACTAATGGATATTTCGATTTCACAATTCCTTTACGACTTAGGTTGCAAGTTGTTGCTGACTTTTTCATTTGGTTTGTAAAGGACCTACTGATAGTCTGTCTAATCTGCCTTTAGGCTGGCTAGTGGTGCAGGTTCACATAAAGTAAACAAAAAGGTTCTTATTTTCACCTGTATTTATGTACCTACGTGCGTAATTATCTCACAATCGATTGAACCCATTTCGATACGGTTTTCAGAAAAGTATTAGTTACTTTTAGGAGAAGGTTTCAGTATATTAATTCGACTTCAATGACTTCAATATTAAAAAAGGGGGTTGAAGTCGGTTTTTGAAACGCAGTTTATAATTATATACTGTGATAAAGTTCTGTATTTCATATTTCTTTCTTGCTTTTGATAGATTGATTGCCTTAAGATCAAATGGCATTTTACTTATATGTATATTTATATTTCAAGCCGAAAAGTGATTAAATAAAACAAAGTCATCAATATTTCGAAAGTGTTTTATTAAATCGTTAAATATTGAATTTAATAAAAACAATTAAACAATAATAATATATAACATTCTGTTAATAAAACAATAATCATTATAATAATTCTGTTTGTGTATTGTGTTGTGCGACTTGGGTATTATTAATAACTATTATTTTAAAGAGAATAGGTAGGTAATAATGTTGAACGGTGTCAGTAAAATTTAGACTTTTCTTATTTAATTCTTTAAGTGGGGTTTCAAAAATTTAGTTATATATATAGTTCTTTAACACATTCGTAGTATGCGTGCCGACGCGAGGTTCATAAGAAAATTATCTCCAGTATCTCATAATATTTGCATTATATTAGCTTTCTGTATTTTTATCTTCTAAACCAGTAAGTATGCTGATACTGACATCGTTCAACAACAAATTCTGTGTGTTATTACATTTTATAAACAATGTACAATCTTATTGTTTCTGCTTGTAATCATTCCGAAAGGATTTTCTAAAATATTTTACATAAAAACAAAACATAAACAACACAAACAATAAACAAAATAATCTTAATATTAAAACATTTGCAATATTATTTTAAGTATTTATTTAATAAAAATTTCGTCGTTTCTTATTATTTAGATAATAATATTCATTCATTATTTAATAATATAATATTTATTTTCAAATCTGTGAGATAATAAATGTTTTAAAATTTAATTTTATTACTATATTTTATTTAGAATTAATATAAGCATACCTTCGTTCTAGACTATCACAACATTCAAAGGCATAAGTTTGGACCTTGGCTTGCAAAGGATAAAAGGGTGTTCTCCGACCTCTGGCTGACCTTGGACCGGCCACTTTGCATACTCAACCACTTACGGACAGGAATTAGGAAATCAGTCAGAAACAGTATCGGATCACTTTAATATCGAGGCCCGCTATGTTGACTATGTCTTTGATCTTAAAAGAGGCGGGCACTCTCTTATATTGATGGCATCCAAGTGATTTCCAAATTAAATGCTATTGAAAATGTTTAAATTTAATTTTGAAAAGTCGATTAGTCCAGAGGCAGATTAAACTTAGAGGGCTCATAAGCGACCCCTTTTTTTACGTTGCTACCACTCTATGGGTAGTTGGGTACACACGTCTCGCGGCGCTCCTCTTTAACCTGACGTCCGAGGCACTTGTCTAGTTTGCCTTAGTATAATACGCCTCTAGATTAGTCGTTGACACATCACTTGGAACCGAATAATATAAACTTAGTTCTTAACCTTATTGTGGTAATTTTTTAAACTACATATTGTATTAAATTGTTGTATTAAAGATGTATCGGGAGTATACCTCTAATATAATGTTTCCGCGATCAATATCCTTAAGTAAGTCGAGTGTACAAACGGGCCAGTTTCTACAAGGTGAATTTTGTCCGTTGAGGTGAGTTCTTTCTTTATGATTCTTCAAACGATTAAACATGATTTTCCATACGTCAAATTACAAATTAATTTCTTTGAAGAAAATTGATTAGCATCTGAGAATTACTTATAATGAATTTCAGGTTCACATTATTATGGTTGGCTGTCTATTAATCAAGTTAATTCAATGAACCAATTAACGGTAAGTTACTGTGAAAACAGGATTATTTTAGGACAAGAGAAAATAATTACTTACTCATTAGAAAAATTCTGGGAGAACTTTTCTAGATCGTTGTGTCAATAGCCAGACATTGGTTTAATGTATAAAACGAAGACAAACATATAAAAATAAATACAACCATGATTTGTATTGCAAAAAATAAATTGTCATAATATTTGATTTTATCATTACTATGATAATTATTTTAAGGACTTGATCATAGCTGTAGCTATATAAAATACTAGGTAGTTTGTTCAATGTAAGTAGATAATTTATAAATCTATAGATAGAGTAAAATGTGATCTATCTGTCAGAGAACATCGCAGCGAAACAGTGGACAATAAAATCTCTTCACCTAATATCTAAGCTTGGACTTGTTAATTCAAATATTTAATAAAAACTTTTTTTTCACTTATTTTACACAAAAGTTGTAAGTACTTCGGTAATCGGGACCCTGTACACTAACATGCACCTTATCTATGATTTTGTTTATAAGCTGTGCATTGATAAATGTGTTAAACAAAAAAATATCATAGGTACCGAAATTTGTGATCGTTATTTTGTGAATTAAACAAACCGAAACAAACAGCTTCACATAAAATAGTAACTGCCCAACAAAATATCGAGCTTTCTTGGAAATTATTGCCACAATCGAACACCTGAATTTGCCAATAACTTCCGCCATTTTGCTCGAATTTCGCGCCATAATTTCCGCTTGACATAAATGTCAGAGCTGTCAACACAATGCACAGAGTATAAACGCGTTCACGACTCAATAGATGGTCAATATAATTGAAATTAATTTGACAGTGAAAATTGGTCAATCTCTTATCGTAGCTGCTCGCTAAATACACGCTCGAACCTGTAGTCAGGGCGCAAGGGCTCTAGGGGTCTGGACAGATTAAAATCTCACTTTTTAAAATGTAAGTAATACTTAAACACAACTTATAAAAAGTCCATTGGGGACAGAATCGTTTCAGGTAAATGCTTAGTTTATTTTTTGATTATTCTGCTTTATTTGATCACAAAATGGTTTGACAACAGGGCCACGTGAAAGCCTAACCGCATTTAGTCAGGTACGTACTCATTTGATCTGTAATTCCGAGCCGTATCCGCATCCGGCTTCCGAAAGCGTAATATCAGTGATTTATAGGGTACTCACCGCAAACCAGTGACTAGAGAGCAAAGCCACATTCCGGTATATACAGGATGTTCACAAAATAAATACCAATCTAAAAATGAAAATTGGTTTTGAAAGTACAAAATAAATAAATTGCAAAAGGCACGTACCGCCCCAAGTATTTGCAAAGCAAATGACATAAAGGTGACATAACCAGTTTTTCTTTTGATAAATGCTGTCCAGTGACCCCTAGCCCTAACAATATTTTATTCGTTAATTAAAAATTTATAATTTTATAAAAATACAAAATAGTTTAGCGACTCGGTGACCGTGTGGTCGGGTAACAGCCACTAGCTGTTCTAATTAAGTTTTGTAATTATTATTGTGGTGTAACATTAATTAATGTTTTACGTTGATTTATGTGTTTTGGAAGTTTCACTTTACGAAATCAGTTTCTCAGTAGGCGCAAGTCCCGTAACGCCGGACGGCACTTAACGCCGGACACTTGTATTATCTCGATAACTAATAACGCGACCGATTCTATTTTTAGAGGAAATCTTCTAGTGGCAGACACCTAAGATTTTTAGTAAAACTTAGTAAAATACGACCGATTGAATCGCTCGTGTTATCAGTTATTGAGATAATACAAGTGTCCGGCGTTAGGTACCGTCCGGCTTTACGGGACTTTCACCTACTTGGATGTTGCTAAGTTGTTCGATTTGAAAATGTTGGGTATCCTCTGGGAAAAATGCGTCACTGGATTAAATCGCTCCCGTTCCCCCGTGGTCGTGGCGTTACGGTAGCAATTATATCACATGAAAGTATGTGTACGGCGGACGTCGGAGACTCCCATAAAGTCACGTACACCGTATTGTCCGCAATCACTCCCGATACTAAAATATTCACAGCCGTAGATTTTGTTGTTCAAAATGTTTCCCACATTTTTATTTACCCACAAACAGAATTCTGTTAGCGTTTGACAGACCAAGCGAAATATCAACATGAGTGAGTCCATTGTATTTTGTATTTTTATAAAACTGTTATTTAACCTTAGAAGCTTATAATATGTACAATGATATCAAACAAGCATTGAGCAATTTTTATGAATTAATATTAAAAATATGCTAAAATATTTACAATATAAACGGGCTTTTGTAAAATGTTGCTCGCAACGAGGCCGCCTCGCGAGCCGCGCTTTATATCCTGGCAACATTTAATCTTGTTGGAACAGATATTTTTTCACATATTTGCTTGAATTCGCCTACATCACATCACCACGAGTGAAGAATTACTTTTTGATTGATCCTTGTTATTATTTTTCAAAGAAGACAATGATGTATCGCCGCTCCCCGCGGCGGCCTCGCTAAGTACGTACAGTACACCTAATTATGTTATTAAAATATTAAAGTGCTTTTTAAGTCAAAGAGGACAAATGTTATTTTAAAATATTTACAATATTAAGTGAATAGGACTAGCAGATGAATGAATTAGTAATTTTAAGTGAAAATTTTAAGTTATCATTAATAAGCTTTCATCAAAATCAGCGTCCATTATATTTGGAGCTCTCGTTACACTTCACTTTAGTTCTGATTAGAACATTAATCACATAGCAGCCTAAATACCCCAGATTTTGACGACAAGATTACATTTAAAATTAGTAAAAAAATATCAATTCAATGCATTTTTTAATTACGAATTAAATAATGCAGCCAGCACATTTTGTGTTGTGGCAACATTGTATCACCGGTATCCAATTGGCTACTCGAATTCGATCATGATTCGAACGCGCACGAACCATTGGTCGGCGGCGGCGTGCGCACGCGCCGCACGAGTGGAGTATCACCGTGCGCTCGACTCCTCCTTCTCTTTCCCCTGCGGACTCTTCTCCTTGGCGGTCACGTCTAGACTCTGGTCACGAGACTCTTGGACTGATTCTAGCCCAATGTCAAAGGAGGATTGCCTGCTGAAATATTGAAACGTTAGAAGAGGAAATATTACATGCGGAATTTTGAGATTCTTAGGCTTGAACTAACCTTTCTGTCAGGTAGTTCCCGGGAGCAGACAGCGACCTGCCAGCTCTCGCCAGCCCCCCTCTCTTGGCGGCTGCGGTGGATTTCTCAGAGCTTTCTCCTCGAGAGCTGGTGGACTCCCTACGAGACGTACTGCCTTCCCTACTGCGGAGGAACGGGTTCTGGCGACAAAGCATGCGAGTTACAACTTTGAACTAGAGTTCTGTAAAAATAATTATGTATCATCTACCTATTTGATCTTGAGCTATAGCTATTCATACTATTGTTTATAGTATCAACTTACTTGGAAACTATGTTTCTTCAGCATAGTCTTGATGAGTATGAGAGTGGACAGGTTGGGAATAGAGGTGACCACTTGTGCCATGTCCTCCTCTGTTACTTCCACCAGCCTGCAGTTCTCCTGCTCCGAAGGTAGGGGATCTTTGCCTCCGTCCGTTATCCACTCGTGGTCCTAAAAGTATAGAAAACATTAGGTAAAGGTAAGGGTAGTATATTATTCTACAAACTTAAAAAAGTAGATATGATTGAAAGTTAAGGAAAGAGAAAGTAAGTAATGGAAATTCCTACAAATGGGTTTAATCATAAACTAGACCATCGAGCCGTCGACTTATCAAAGTTAAATTAATTAACCACAAAGTGGATCGTGGATCTCAATAGACACGTAAAACGTATTTCTCACTCTACATAAACATTTCTTTAAAATTGTATAAGACAGAACAAAGTAAATAATAAGTAAGTAATATTCGTTTCAAGCAATTAGATAATGTAGTTAATCCAATCAGTGAACAAGTGAGCGTTGAATCGTTCAATGGCTGTTGTATTATGGAACAGTTTGGTCAAATTATTCGAGTAATTGCGTTCACTCGAGACAATTTCATTACCGTCGCTCGGATTCGCTTGGTTACAGCCCGACCTGACCTTTTTGGAGATAATTCTCATCTTGGATAATGACATCATAACATTAATTGATTGGCAGAGACATTGTCTAATAGACTTAGGATAAAAGCTCGGAAAAATGTTGCTTTTGTTTCGGCCCACGATCGACATTTAGGAATTTAGAAATCGGAAAATTAGATTGACGTTTTTCTTTACATTTTTTACAATAGGACTTTCTTTATGGTCTTACATTTATAAGCAAAAATTACACACACTACTAACTTTTATACATACATATGTAAATAATTGTTCCATTTAAGAGCACCTGTTATGAGCGCTACGTGAATGTTAACCAGCACAAGCTACCCACCTTAACCTCCTGTAGCGTAGCTCTCGTCGCCGGCTCCTTATCCAACATTCTACTGAGCAGATGTCGCAGTTGCTTCGAAGGCTGGAACTTGGGAGGGTACGTCAGCGGCTCGGCTAACACCTTCCGTTGCAGCTCCACAGCTGAGCTGCCGACCCAGGGCACTTTGCCTGTCACCATTGCGTAGAGCGTGACTCCTAGTGACCAGATATCTGCTGCCTAGGGGAAGTGTAAAAGGAGGTTGAATGAGATGGGCTCTGTTAGTCAGGAGTTCTGCTTAAGTAAAGTAGGTCTTAAGTCCGTACTTATACTTCTAACCCATGGTAGAAGTGTTAAGGAAGGATGGTCAAGCATAAAGCTTATGGTTCTTCTGATTTTTTAAAATTTACATTTTAAGGAATGCTCAACTGTCAAGCTCGATTGTCGAGCCACGGGCCTTTGTTTCAATCTCCAGGTTCGTTTTTGTCTTGATTTCTTTCGTACATGCTTTATAATCACGTATTTCAGCTCTTACCTCTCCACTATACTTATCAGCCGGTGCGGCTGCTTCAGGGGCCCGGAACGCCGGGGTCCCGACAGTGCCGGACACGCGACCGGCGGCGGCTAGCTCCCCGCAGGCGCCAAGGTCTGCCACCTGCACCCGACCCTCGCCTAGCAGTAAGTTGGCTGGCTTTATGTCCCGGTGGGCTATCCTCTGGTAATGTACTGTGGGAGAATGTATAATTTAAATAGGTCTATTAAAAATTTGTGAGTGTGTTCGTGTATGCTTGTTACTCGATTACTTAAAAACAGCTGAAGGGATCTGATATTTGGAACAGAGGTAACTAATTATGGTGTAGAATAACACACATTTTAAGTGTGGGAGAGCCATGCTTCGGCATGAATGGGCCGGCCGACAGAAAACCGACGTGAAACAACGCTTGCATTGTGTTTCGTCACGTGAGCGAGGTTACCGGCTTGGGCCTCCCTGTGGAGGGGTTATTGGTTCCCCCCCCCCCCCCCCCCCGCCCGTTGCCCCCCCCCCCCCCCCAGAAGACCCAGTGCCACTTATAGATGAGCATATTCTACCTTAAAACACAATTACACATAGGTAAATGTCTAACCTAAGTATTATATGATAATAATACAGTTCAAAAGCCATATATCGATACGACGACTCGACGTTACATGGCTGGAGGGTGACATATGAACGAGTGTCCTGTTTTTATTCTTATATATACAAAACAAACATGTTTCGAAGTAAATAGCTGTACCTATGCATGTTATGTAGTCTGTGATCTGGGGACGAAATGTTAATGTGTGTTTATCATAGTAATGTTTGTTTTGGTCGAGCCAATCTTATGTATGTAAAAACCAGTTTAATATGGACTCGCTTTGTTTGATATTTTCGTACTTTCAATGGTCAGTATATACTGGTTGCTTTGCTTGATGTGTAGCCTATTGACTTGCTAAATATTTGTGTGAGGATCGAAGATTATGTACTATACCTATAATCTATATATGTGTGGGTATATAGAAGTTGCCAGGATAACGGCTTTATTTTTTTAGTTCAAGTTAAGATAGTTTCTTCTATTTATTTGTTTTTGTTAGACTTTGGTTGGGATTGTTTTTTTATACGATCGGGAAGTCGTTGAGAATAGAGGATTTCACAAGGCTGCACAATAACATGTAAATTAATAACATTTGGATGTACAGTCAAAATTATTTATTTCAATTGGATCAGAAGAGCACTTTTGAAAGTCAACAAAAAATTAAAAGTGAAGCTAATTGCTCATTCCAATGTGTAGATTCCTATGAAGAAGAAGTTTACTTTTTCGTTTAATGCAATAAATAATCATACTCTTATCCATTGATTTAATAATTTACCTGATTTTGGATTTTTCCTTGCTAATTTTAAATAAGTATGCTATTTGACGCAGAAATATGATGACGTCATAAGTTGCGATCCAATACAAAATTCATAGAAAAGTATCGTTTTTGACATTTCAATAAAAGTATTGAATTCGACTACCTGTCAACTAGCGTATTCTCTAGTTACATTGTTTTGTTGTTTGGATTGTGCGAGAACAATGTAACACTAAAATCCAGTCAAAGAGATCGAAAAAGAAGTAACCATAAAATACAGCAAATAATAATGTAAAACTATTAGTAAAATATTTACAGAATTACTTTGTATTAAAATCGTACATTTCAATTCGTATATTTGTGAATATTTCATATATTCGTATATTCGTGGGCAGTAATTGAAATAATCGAATAACTTCACTAATTAATAAGTAGGTATGTGCACTTATTAATTATTTCCAGCTGTCAATTATGTCAGCATTCCGATTTAACACTTTAATGAATTTCGCACATTTTGCGTGGATTACACTAGCTAGTTCTATATTTTGGATATTGTATTTTTTAATCATTAAACAAAATAGGCACTTTAATTACTTACTAATTAAGAAAAAACAGACTTTGATTTTGATTCCATTATTGTTTATTATTATTCATTTATTTTTAAATCACACAGGTAAGTATGTTATAATTTAAGCCCCACAACACCGTTGCAAGGGTTTGACCATGTCGTGCAAAACTTTACAATTGTGATTTTAATTAAATTTTTAAAACAGGGATTGGTTTTGGATTTCTTAATTAGAGCACCGCGGCACCGGTTGATTCCGATTCATCGATCAAGATTTGATTTTCGTCTTGAACAATTCGCATTAAATTTTTCTCTGAGTTTGCATATATATATGGATTTTGTTAAAAGCTATTGTTAAAAAACACGCTCCATGCTACAGGAGAAACTCGTAGTGTCGAGCAACATTATAAAAAGTCACTGGTCCAACACGACAATCTAAAATCTCATAAAATTATAAACATAATTCATCATTATTATCAAATACTGGAGCAGTGACAGTGTTCATTCCGCACAATCTCGCCGGACTTGTCTGTTATTAAAATATTACGACGTTTTTACGACACGCCGGGAGGGGGCGCTACAATCACACCCCATTTATTACACGGCACGAGACCTGAATACATTGACTAGAGTTGTCGATGACTTGGACTTGAACGATAATTGTCTTTTTTGAAGTATGAAGGTATTAATTTGTTAATTAAGGGGTCAGAACTAATTATCTCATGATTGATCTACGTAGTGTTTGATAATTTTACGTTATGAAAAGTATTTTAAGCCAAAATAGTTATACTACATAATGTCAAGGTTCTATGTCATATTGGTTTATGCATTTTTTTAAGGGGTAAAATCCTCGAATGGCTGCTCCCGCCTGGGTGAGGCGGGAGGGAGTGTCAGACTCTTACTGACTAAAAACCACCCCGTTCCTTCTCCTGCACATCGAGCCGGAGACCCGGTTACCCGTTAGGTTATCCGTGACATTGGTTTATGCATAATATTTTTGTAGAGGTTATATGGCCAGAAGCTTTCTATGATAGTCAAACTACTAGTGCAAGGCAAGGTCCTGTCTTGGACATGCCGAACTGGTGTCCATCTCAACGCAAACTTGAATCGGAACACGATTTTAACACCAACACATGTACATATTGTGCTTGTGTTTTATTTTAGCGTGGGAAATAAGGTTTTTTTTTCTAATCTTAGAAAGATGTAGAAACGTCTTATTGTTACCGAAAACTGTGTTAAAGAAAATTAATTCCAAGATTAATAAGTCATGGCAATTGAGAAAGGTCATACCTTAAAATAGCTGTAGAAATTCCGTGAGAGAGTAATGAGAGGATCAAGTTAAGAACTTCAAACATTGTACTTAAGTTTACGAGTCCTTAGGGCACAGGTTGGCATTGTGCCCGTGGACGAGAGGGCTTAGGTTAGACTTCTGTTCCGGGTACTATTTTGTGGTGTACGTGGGATGAGCGCACCAGGTGTGTGGTAAGCGACTTGTATTTTAAAACTGCTGTTAAAGTTTATTTTTAGATTTTTGTGGGGTTTTTTTGGGTTTAGAATATTGGCGTAGGTGGGCTACTGAAATAATGTTTTATAAAGGAATTTGCGATCACAGGAGCATTTAGCTCGGACACTATCGAGATTTTTAATACAAAACTTAGTAGTATCGGACTCTGACTAAAATAGATTATGACGAAGCTTTTTTTGTGAGTGAGGCGAGTTATGCCTCGAGACTTGAGGACACCTCGAGTCATTACGTCTTGTGGTTGATGGTGATGACAAAATAAATATTTTGTAAAGTTACTCACAGTACTCGACACCCAGCAAGGCGTCCCTGATGTACCTCCTGGCGAGCTCCTCACTTAGCGGGTTCTCGGTGGGGATGTCGATGACTGGGCCTCCTTCTAGCAGCTGGAACACCAGGTACAGGTGGTCCTCTGCTGGGTCGTCTAGCACCTGGTAATGAATTCACCATGTTCCTGGTTACCTCACTGGTTACCACAAAGATGTCTTCTATTTTACGGTAGCTATAGGGCGGCTATCGAGCTAATTTATCCCTTGATGGTAAGCAATTGGCGCCGCTGTGGATTGGAAATTGGAGGATTGGGGATTGGACATTGGGGATTGGCGATTGGGGATTGGGGATGGAGGAGGAGGATCGGACCTCTGGTGACCTTAATCACATGGTGAAATATAACACAGCAAATTTGATTTAATAGTTTAGCTGAAAATTTAAACCTAAGTTGCAACCTAGCCAGAAAAATACAAAACTATAGACAATTCTGAAAAATACCTCGAACAACATATTAAGGCAGCACAAAAAGAAAGGCTAAGTAAAATAAATAGTGTAACAATTATCTAGATAAGAGAAAATAAAGGAAGCGGCCATATTTGTCGATGTAACCGTAATAGAAACAGCTAACGTGAGCAAAGGTCAGTCGTGTAGAACACATTGAACTATACAAAACCAGGGTATCATGGCCTTGCTGTGTATGATCTTTCCTTACATTCTAAGGTCAGTTTATAATGGATGTATAAACCACTTTATCATGGTCTCAACGTGTGTGGTCTTTCCAAACATTCCACGGTCAGTTTATACTGGTTGTATAGTTTGAAGTGCAGTGTGTACTACCAATTAGTAGAACCAACATCTTTATTATAGCTGTGATGTTAGTATTGGGTGGACGATAAACGTGCTGCTCATTTACTGGTATTTTTATGCCTTGAAGCCTTGTGGTGATAGAGTAGATTATAAATGTCACCTCCTCTAGTCATTTTTTTTTAAGGGGGGAAAATCATCAAATGACTGCTCCCGCTTGGGTGAGGCGGGAGGGAGTGTCAGACTCTTACTGACTAAAATCCACCCCGTTCCTTCTCCTGCACGTCGAGCCGGAGCCCCGGTAACCCGTTAGGTTCTCCGCGACTCCGAATCACCTCATCTAGTCTTGTAGCGGGTGTTCTTAGAGCTAATATGAAACTGCACTTTTGGCAGAAACCGGGGAGCTTTCTGATCAACAAACTTTGATCTGATCCCCTTACTCCAACTTATTTTAGTGCCTTTACGCGCGTTCCAGTTGCCGGGTATACAGCGCTGGGTATCCAGGATCCAGGAGGGGGTGAGCCTATTGCCATATACCAGGCACAATTGCAAACTCCGTGCTACTACTGAGTATTTTTTTAGAAACCCAGTAACACTTTGCGCGGCCCGGGAATCGAACCAGAGACCCCTTGCCCGGCAGTTGCACTTGCGACCACTCGGCCAACGAGGCAGTCTTTTTTTGAAGTAAAAATCATAAACGTTTTAAATATGGTCTTACCTCCACAAGTTTGACAACATTAGGGTGATCTAATTTCTTGAGCACAGCAATCTCCCGGTAGACCCTCTGCAGCGGGCTGGGGGGCGGGCCAGGTCCTGGCCGCCGAGGGGGCGCCCTACCGAACAGACCAGCTCGCCGCATCAACTTGCGTTTTGATAGGATCTTCATCGCCTGAGAAAAAAAAAGCGTTAAATGTGTTGATATTTTTTTAAATATACGATTTTTAAACCATTCAATCTCCAGGGGGTTTTGAATTCATCAAAATATGTATAAATATTTGTTAAGAATACAATTGCCATAGTATTAGTTACTAGCTGTTGCCCGCGAACTCGTCCGCGTAGAATATGATTCCTGTTTTATCCCAAGGGAGCATTTAACCGGAATAAAGAGTATCCTATCATCTAAGTCAGTCCATACCCTGCCTGTATACCAATATCCGTTCAGTAGTTTCAGCGTCATTGACGGACAAACATTCAAATATCCAAACAAAGAAACTTCACATTTATAATAGTAGTGTGATCTGATAGAACTCCTCATCTAGTCCTTATATTCATTTTCAGTGCTGGCCTCTTATTTTTGGGTTTTGAACTGAAGAGACATATATTATGAAGAAGTAGTTTTTTTATTTAACTGGTCACTTTAGTTACGTTTAAGTTAAGGTAAATGTCCCATTATGAAACCTATCTTCCGAGTTGCTGAAATTTAACCATTAAACTGACGCTAACATAAAGATACAAGTACCTACATTTATATCTACCCTTTCGAGACAACAAGCGTTGTATTATTGTAACCTTTTGTTTGGTAATGTTTACTACTAAGCAAATAAAATATTCATGACTGCCGCGGGGCGCGCGTAACTAAGCATTCTACAGACGCCGCACATTAACCTAACCCGACCAGGAAATCTCTTCAATTTATTATGAATCTTATTACCAAGAATATAAAGTTGAAAATTAATTGAAGAGTTTAGCTAAATTAGGGTATCTTGAGGGGCGTTTAGTATGAGATAGTCACGCGTCATTACATTTCCTTGCTCATCGTTCACCGGTCGCCTGAATCCATCATGGCCGCCCTTTGACATTTAACGTTATATTTTCACAGCTCTTATTGTTTCCGCTGCCAACGGATGCTGCTGTCTAAGAATAATAATATAATCCCTATAGGTAGAGGTATATCCAGAAAATATAATAATTGTTCTTACATTACTTACAATAAGGTCGTAATTTCCGTCTATTGTGTTAAGCTGTTTGTTTCCTTTGTGTTATGTGTGTATATTACTTTCTCATACACATTGATTTAAGAAGAATAATGTTTTAGAAATATGACTAACTAGTTTTTACCCGCGACTTTGCTCGCGTGTTCAATAGTATTTACTCGGGCTGTAAAGTATTCTATCACCTAAGTCAGCCCATACCCTGCCGCATCCTGAAGCCACAATCCGTTCAGAGGCCTTACAAGTTTGACGAGTACGCGTTCGGCGCTGTGGTTGGTTGCTTCATTGGTGCCGGCCAATCAGAGTGCCGAACACTTTCCGATTCGATTAATTTATAATATTAGTGTGATGTTTATAATTCTTGTTCGACTCACCTACATACAAAGGGACCTTATTAAGTCTTTAATCTCATATATCATACTTCTTATACTATTATATAAAACTGAAAACTATGTTTGTTTGTTTGACCGCACTAATTTCAGGAACTACTGGCCTGATTTCAACAATAATTTTTGTGTTGGGTAGTGTATTTATCGAGGAAGGTTACAGGCTGTAAAATGGCATGCTGAAAGAAAGAAAGAAGAAAGAAAAGCCATTTTTTTCTGCGCAAAACACACATAACATATTTAAAAAATAAAAAAGAAAATAAAAAATTAAAATGAAGTGAGATCTTGTCCATGGTCCACAGACTTATTATTTTACTGAAATGCTGCGACCAATAAGAGCCGTGAAGTGCGGGAGTAGCTAGTTTTTGTCATCTAACTGTAATGAGGAGTTTTGATGTCTAGGGCGGTCAAAGTACTAGTAAGATTTCTCCGCAAAAGGTAATACGTGTATGTATCTAAATCAGACAGGCAAACCACCTATTACACGGGACTTGTACATTATTAGCGACCTGTGAGGGTTACATTTCATATCTTGCACTTTACCTATTCTTTTGGGGGATTAGAGGACGTTAAAATGTTACATTTTCATGACACTTTAACATTAGGAACAATTCATAACTAAATAATTATAGAACACAATTATATTAAGTGTAGACCTTTTTCCCGATATTAATAAGGTCGACTCTACCGTGTGGGACGCTAGTCTTGATGTATTACATACATTCATATATCTACTTATTGACGTACGTTTTATCACCACTTCTTAAAATTAAGGACAAATGTAACTTGACCTTTTGATCCAATGATTAGAGACAAGTAATCAAGTACCTGAGTCCACAGAATTATAAATGAACCTGTTTGTCCTTTCTGTACTGGTACAGATACAGTAAATATGTATTAAATAGAAAAATAAAATAACTAGTGGTTTTTTTCTGATGGGGGAATATCATCTACTGACTTCTTCCTTCCGGGTGAGGCAAGAGGGAGTGTCAGACTTTAACTGACTAGAAACCACCTCGTTCCTATAACTGCTCTACGAACCGGAGCCCCGGCGCACCCGTGAAGTCCTCCGCGGCTCAAAATGGTGCGGTATATGCATATGCTGATGTTGGGCACATCATAGCTAACAGTATATAATACTGTCAGCATCATCGCTGTATTCTTCCCACGGGTGTCGTAAAAGCCTAAAGAGTAATATGTATTCATTTCTAGGCAGAAACCGAAAACCTGAACCTTCTAAATTGCGATGTTCACCCCGACAAGCGTGGAGATTATAGCAAACCCTTTTGTTTGTAGACTAAACCTATTCACGAGTTGTCATCATGCTGTATACAAATTGTATTATAACAAATAAATAGGGATCAAGTATAACACCTTCTACAGGTCCCTAAACCGTGACGTGGGAATTGTATGTACTGTGGGGGAAATGATCTGCCTGATCATTTTAAAATTTTATTTGCTTGAACTCGACAAAACCTTGATACACTTCATGAATGTCTCAACTAGGTATTGGACATTGGCAACTCATGGAGCAGGGCTAGAGAGTGGATCTCACCAGGTGCTAGCAAATATTAACTTAGTGGTCAGGCGGATGTGCCCCCCACTGTACACATCCTATCATCCTTAGCTAAGGTCTTCCACAAGAGTTTACAATAATTAATATACACTTACGTAATGCGTATCATCCTCTTCATTGTAGGCTAACTTGACGATCCCGTACGAGCCCTGAAACATACGAGTTTATGTAACTTTACATACATACAGGGTGTCCCAAAATTCAACGATAATAATGAACTGATGATGGATCCTTTTTTGATATCCTACATAAAATTTAATAGTCGTGTGTTTAAATCTGCTACGACGGGTGTCCAAAGAGAGTTACCAATCTTTTTACAGCTTTTTAATGGAAATACCTGCCAAATATTTTTTCTGAAAAGTGGCTAATATAAAGAGTGGTTTAATAAGAGGGCCCATCACCTAGTCCAATCTTTTTGTTGAGTTTTAGAACATTCTGTATACGTCCAATCCTACATACATACATACATACATACATACATACATACATACACATGTAGGTACTATGGTGTATTTACTGAAACTCCTTGTTTCAGGAGTTTGCGAGTGTAAAGCTTTCAGCCGTAATTAGCGGTTGACTGAAGCTTAGGCCGAGGTCATTTACCTTTCTGTTGATCTTTGTTTTGTACAATTAATCTTGTTTTTATGTTTTTGTTTAAGTTCAGTAAGCGTGCGAGGAATTATGTTGTTTTTTTTTTGTTTTTCTTTTTCATATAGAGTAGACAGAGCTAAGTAAGCTTACTATTTTCATAGTATTATAATACTTGTTGACAGAAACTCGTGACGTATTGTAGTGACCCGGAGGTTTAAGACGCCCGCTTCTCATATATGAGAGTGCGGGTTCGAAACCTACCAACGGCAAGTACCAATGTGACTTTTTCCGAGTTAAATGTACTTTCTAAGATTATTTAGACACCACTAACAATCGGTGAAGGAAAAACATCGTGAGGAAACCTGGACTTATAATGTCTATTTATAAGTTTGAAATCACCAACCCGCATCGAGCAAGCGTGGTGATTAATGCTCAAACCTTCTCCGTGTGAGAAGAGGCTTTGCTCAGCAGTGGGCATTTATAGACTTTTGATGATGTCAGAAACTATACAGCTAAGGGCGCTACTGTCCACGTTACAAATGAATGCATCTTCAAAAATAAAAAAACAACACCTACCAAGACAATGCTTCAATAAACCTAATTACAACTAACCCAAGACAAAGTATCTCACACACCTGTCCGATAGGCTCCAGCAGTCTATACTGGTTGAGCTGCACGTATCCCGAGGCCTGTGCCAGCGACACGCGGCGTGACTCGCGAGGCGCGCGCCGAGGCCGTGGGGAGCCCTGCCCGCTGCACTCCGCCGACTTTGCAGCGTGCGACCGCAACAAAGTTGACCGGTCGCCTGTTGCTGGGTATGTAGACAGCCTAAGGAGGAATAGTCATGTGTGAGTTATATTGTATGATAGAGCTGTTTTAAAAGAAATAATTTAACTACTTTAAAGATAGTAATTTAGTCAAGTAATTAATTAGAATCTGTATCACGTCAATGATGAAGTGTTCAATATCAGTTTATTGTGAGGACGTTTTCTTTAATGGAAAGTCTATATCATAGACACTTGAAATTACAACTCTGTATAATAGATAACATAATAAATTAAATTGTAATTATAAGGCAAAAACTGCTTAAGGAACGGAAAGGAATTTCATAATGCAAAAGGTTAGCGCAAATTTTACAGAAACTAGACTACCATTATACGTATTATGGAGAATCAGACACTAATAGAACACGACACGTATCGACACTCCATACAGTCTGATACACCGAGTGTGTGAGTCTGTGGTCGCGGCCTGCACGGGACAACGCGCACCGCGACTTAATGTACTTGACACTTGCGATACTTACTTACTGTGATTCAAGGAATTTTATTATATTATACACTTTGTAATATAGTAAACTATATATTATAATTATTATTATCTATATGACTATTATATTTAGATACGAATAGTATTATGTACGTAACATATTTGATAATAACTGCAGGTACATCTGGTACATATGTATATCTACTTAATTATTGAAAAACAAAAAACAAATTCAAATAAATTGGGCATTAAATTAACTAAATGAGGAAGAACCCTTCTGTGCTTCGAAACTAGTAGAGCTTTTCTCAGTATATTTACGTGAGTAACCCGCGATTTTTAGTTAATTTGCGTTGACTGCACGGTTGGTGCGGTGGCTGGGCAACCGGCTGCCGTGCAACGTGTCACACTTTGTGTGATCCACAAATTGTTGTTCCGGGTCTGGGTATCATGTGTACGTGAACTTGTATGTTTGTAAACGCACCCACGACACAGGAGAAAATCCTAACGTGGGGCAACGATTTATTAAAAAAAAAATAGTATGTCTCACAATAGTTATTATAAAAAATTGGGTATTAAAATCTATTTGTTTTTCGTTCACAGCTATGCAGAGGTGACCCTGGTTATCATATAAATCACGAAATCCCAATAAAAGTTACCTGCATAGTTTTTGCATTTTATTACGATTGCTAAGTTAATTTATTTGTCAAACAAAATTAACATAAAACTGCAGTAAACATGCAACAGAAACGGAAACAGCTTAATTTCAAAATTGGTATTTGAATATTGTAAAGTCATGTCCAATGTCATCGGTAAGAACATGCAATATTTTTTTGTACGCCGTACAAAAAGTCTTGGTACTTGATATAAATTATGACAAATGTCTGACAGTTTTTGTAAACATGACTGGACATTTTGTTGATCCTCGTATATATATTACACAACATGAGTTTTAAACTGTCAACAGTATAGTAGGTAAATAGAATAATTATTATACGTCGTATAATTTAATTTGCTAACTCATTATTTCGGACAGTGGTTCACTTTAATGCATGTCCTGTTTTCACAAACATCTCCCAACTTTTAAGAAACCTCTAAACTAAGATAGGTTAGGTAAGGTAGGACATTTAACCTCATTTTTAAGTACTATTAAGGGTTAGTTTAGGTGCTACGTCACACGAGGTAGCTTTTAGGGGGTGGTTAGTGAAAACGGCCACAAGTTACTCAGTATACACCGTGAAATCTATTTCGTTTTCGTCTCGAAGTAAAATGAGTCTGTGTTAGTAATGCAATAGATTTATAAAGAAAGAAAATGTTTGAAACTCATTATCAAATATCACCCCATGTAATTCTCGAGGAGGCATTTTTAGTCGCATGGCATGTGCGATGCGAATAATGCCTGCAAATTTTACGTCTAGTGTTTCATGTACGTATGTCCATGATTTTTTTTAAACTATAAACAACGACTCCTTTTTTGGTTTTACTTTATACATCGAAAATGTTCCTTATGACAAGTTATTTTGCCGCGGGACGAAAACGTAATAGATTTCACGGTGTATGTATAAGTATAAGCATAAGCTAACAAAAATGGAACAAGTAAGTACATGTTGTAATTCGACGAGGAACTTGACTAGTTTCAAGCCATGCTAGAGGCTCATATTCATGAGCAGCATTTCGCGAGCCGCGATGCGGCGACTGTCGCGCTGCTACTGAGTAGCAGTACAACGTGAGTAAGCCGAAAACATAATAATTTATTTAGTATGTCTCACGAAAGTTACAATACAAATAAAGTAAGTACCTACATGTATTATTAAAATTATTTTTGTACATTATCCACGAGAATTAGTTTCAAAATCTTCAATGTTCGTACCTATAAATAGAAAAGCCTTGCTATTAGAAGAGATTTGGCCCAAATCAGGGATGGACAAATATGGCGGTTGATAAGTTTGCTCAGGATTATTCTGGATAATAACCTTACTTCGTATGTTTTAGGCTTATAGGCTCAACGTGTCGTACCCTTTTTCCTCCATAGGCTAAGAATTAACCTTGCTATACACTGACACAGATTGCGGAAGATCCCACGTTATTTCCGTAAAAGTTAAGCACGGACCTTGCTTTATTTTTCCTTTGCTTTTTTTTAATATTACAATCCCAACGTGGCTATTATTTTTGTGCTTTTCTCCATTGTGCCAGAGGTCAGCGTTATTTTCTTTCTTTATTAATTTAGAAAAAGGAAAATAAAAATCTTACAGGATTCTGGTGATTAAAAGTAGGCAGATTATGAACAACAGTATCTTCTTTTAGGCACTAATTAAACTATGTGTGTAATAACAATTGCATTTACGCCCGAATGATTGAAAGACTACACAATTTTAACTTGTACTTAGAGGTAAACATCGACGCCATCTCTGTCATTTTACATAGACTTTGTAGTGACAGAATTATACAGAAGCACGACCTAATTTTGAGTGGCGTTTGAGTATTTGGACATTAATCTCTGTAGTGTAAGTATCTGGTTGCGTTACCTGTCTCCGTCTGGAGTCTGCCACCTGGTCCTCTCATGCTCTCTGTTGCCACCGTTAGACACGTCCACTGCTGAGTGCCTGCAAGGAAACAACACAATGTTAGATGACAGTGTCTGTAAATTGGGTACTTTCCTTAATAAACAATAAATTATTTCGACTGTTCAATACAATAAATTATTGAAAAAATCGACTTCCATTAATTGTTTTTATGATCAACTTAATTTTAATATTAGGTCAGCAAATTTTTAAGAAATAAGTATGACGTCACACGTCACGCTTTTTTGGCGTCAAGACACACACACATACACAATTTCGTACAAAATTCATAGAAAATGTTCGTTTTTGACAGTTCGAAAAAAGTATTGAATTTGACTAGTAGGCAAGTACCCAATTACTGCAAGTTTGGGACAATGCCACTAGGCTGAAAAATATACGACATTTAGTGGTGTTTTATAATGTATTTCAGTGTCTTGTTGGTTGATTGATTGATAAAACAACTAACAAAAATAAGTACCGATTAATTTTATAGCTTGGCTCCTGTTGCTATTGAAATAGATAGTTATTTATGAGGAACGAATATACAATCCGACAAATATTATTATGATCTTTGTCTACCACCTCGGAAAGATCTACACGCACATGGGCATCTTGTGTGTACCTATATTCTTGTGGTGTGTCGTGGCGTAATAAATGATTTTCTCTCTTTATTTCATGTTTTGTGTAGGCACTTATTAAATATCAAAAATCCCTTTCAACTCGAATGCAGCAATTGATTAAACTTGAAACATTTCGAAATGTATACCATAACCTACTTTCTTATCGACATGGAAACAATATTTTCACAAAAGTGAAAGAAAATTGTGACGATTTTCGTTCAACATCCCCACAGAGTGACGTCATAACATCCTAATATTACCCGACATGAGTGAATTAGATTCACTTACACGCTGCTTCTTTACATGGCCACACATATGATAACCAGTATAAATTGACCTTTGTATGTGCGGAAAGGCCATACAATGCGAGACCATGATAAATTGGTTTAGTATAGCTTCATTTGCAGCCAACTGTACAAAGAGGGCTAGGCAGGAGTGCGTGACACGCATACATCAACATACGTACGGAGGGAAATGGGATATATTTAGTAAAAGTTGAAGAACAATATTGTGGTAATTATACAATGACATGGGTGTTATTTATGTATTTGCTATACTATCTTGCACAACAGTCAGTAGAGCTAAATATTCGTTACCACGCACGATGAAACTTTTAAACCGAGTCCTGGATTCAGCGCCAGAGCGTGGTGTTTTCGAGTGAAAGAAGATTATTTTTGTCGGAATGCTTGAAGTTTTGCGAAAGAGGTGAATGAACTGTACCTAGTGTCTAATAATGATTAAGTTTTTAAATATATAGTTTCTTTTAATTGTATATGTATTCAGTAGTGTAATTGTTTTTTTGTACCGTTCTATTCGTATAAATAAATAAATGTGTATCGTTTTAGTGAGATCTTGAATGGAAGTTCTCATTGAAGTCCGGTTATGTTGATGCGTTTTGTTGAAGTTATTCATATTTTGCATTGATAAGGGCAGTGGAAAATGCCATAGTTAATATATGCTTTGAGTGTTGCTAAAAAGTCCTAAATTCAAATTTGCAAACTTTTAAAAAGGTATGATGGGGTTGCCACATCAAAGATAAAAAACGATAACGTGGCATAATGTGCACCTCTGCCTACCCCTTCAGGATAAAAGGCGTGATGTTATGTTATGTTATGTCAAATGCTTTGGCTTTATTATAAGCATGTTGTAACACTCAGTAACATGTCCCAAGCAGTTTGTAAACAAATCAAACACATCAAACTGACTAGAAGTGACTACAGCTATATTTCAATACAACCTCAAATATTAGGAAGGCTCCGTTTTCTTTCACTTCGCCCACGTCCGCCTGAAATTGATACCAACAGCACGTAGGCGGGGATTTAGTTACATGTTCCTTAGAGGGTAAGCAGAGAGCTCAGTGGTATCGCAAATAACTATATAATTTCATATTACCTACTGAAGCTTTTGCCCGCAGAGAATCTTGTTCTTTTTTAGTTTATATGAAAATTTTAGAGACATTATTTTTTGTGCATGCATGCATGAAAATATTGATGACTGTTAATGAAGTGAAAGAGGTATGTAAGAATCGTAGTAATTGGCGTTCCTTAGTCTCTGCCTACCCCCATGGGAGACAGGCGTGAAGTTATGTATGTATGTATTATTTTTAGTATATAAATAATTTTCTAGGTGCAGTATTTTTCGCTCTGTATCGTCTGTTAGTTACCCAAAAAATAGCAAAGTACTACATTATATTGACGGCGCGGTTGGCGCAATGGATGAGCAGCCGGTTGCTGACCAATGTGTTGTAGGTTATCAGTACAAATACAAAACAACTCTGAGTGAATTGTATGTGAATTTTAGTTTTGTAAACGCACCCACGACGCCGGAGAAAATCCTTATTCGGGGCTGTGTTTAAAAAGAAAATAAGAGCGAAAAATTTATGATGTGTTTATAATGCAAGACTCTAAAAATAAAAATAAGTGCGTTTCATTGTTTTATGGGGAAGAGTTAAGTGGTCTATTTTTAGTATGAAATTAAAATGGTAGATTTAAGGGCAAGTAGGTTTTTTACAGTCACAGTGGGTGTTGGAGTGTCAGATTATGTGCTTTGACAATGTAACATTTAACCTTTTTAAATGAAATGGTTCTGCAGCGTGACTTTACGTACTGGGACCACTTTTTACCATTTAAATATTATTATGTTCAACAATAACGCACGTGGAAAGCGACGCGCCATACGCTCGGGCGGCGAGCTACTCGTGCTCGCCGACCGCCGACCGCCCCTGCTTATGGTAGCTGGAGATCGTCTCGCTAACATTAACAGCCCTGCATCTGTAGCCAAATGCCACTTAGCGCTTGTCTACATGTAGAATAGAAAACCAAATTATATGGAATTGATGTATATTTTGACATTTGTCAGCGTCATCCCCATACTTTTTTTATTTCTACTCTCTCTGTAGACAAGCGCTAAAGTGGCGTTTGGCTAAAGGCACTCTGATATTTTACTTATGTCTTCCTTTTTTCCAATTGAATGTATTGGCAAAGACTACAAGAGGTGTTGAAATAAAAACAAAACATGTGTGTTTGGTCCAACTAGAAAACATTTTATTTTATACCAGCTTGGTCTAAAAAGGTTTTCTTGAATTTATTTTTGATATCTATAAACGGGACCCATACATCTACTCACGCGTACATCCACACAGTATTAGGTACAATCAGTCAAAATAAGTGATTGAACAACAAACTAATGAGTTTGTCGCAGTGCCGCGTCACTGCCGATGTAATTGCCCGTCCCGTCGTGTCAACTGTGGCAACATTCGATTCACATGTGGCCTACATACACACGTACAGACAGACATACAGGCTGATTGGGACTTCTACCAACTACACTGGGAAACTACGACTATTTTACTATGGACAGGTATTTTTTCACATCTTTGTTGATTGAAACCTTTTCGAATTGGACGGTGTACTGGCTGGGTGATTGTGTATCTTGCAATGTATTAGATTTGATCATTGCAAAGGATACATATTATGTGATTTGTGACTGCCTCGTTGGCCGAGTGGTCGCAAGGGTGACTGCCGGGGAAGGGGTCTTGGGTTCAATTCCCGGGTCGGGCAAAGTACTACTGGGTTTTAAAAATTCTCAGTAGTACCACGGAGTCTGGAGTTGTGCCCGGTAAATGGCAATAGGCTCACCCCCTATTACATGGGACTCATGACACAAATACACGGGTGTTACTTTGTACAATGGTATTAAGTGCCGTAATTAACATACACCTCTGCCTACCCCTTCGAGGACAAAAGGCGTGAAGTTATGTTATGATTTGTAGATTAATATTAACAGTCCGCGTAATAATTATCTGCTCCACAATTGGACATAAAAGGTAAACGGTTCAGAAGTATCAGAGAGTTCTATTGTCTTTTTCAAAAGTGACTCCCTTAGTCGGCTCTGACGACTCTTACAGGAGGAGTAGATTTAATGTCGAAGGTATATCTACTTTGCTTGACACCACACTAAAACAATTTGACTACATTAAATAGTAACCTGACTTTATGTTAGTACCCAAAACAAGTAATACAGGAACATTGTACATGAACAATTCACCTTTCAATTGTGAAAACCAACATACCAACTCACATTCATCCTACGCAGTGACCAATCAAAAGCTTCCCAAATTACTCAAAGCTTTTTTAACTGTGAGTTTAACTGACAAGTTAGCCAGTTCACTGTTCATTATTAAAGTTATCAGCATCAGCCTATAAGTGGTGGCCACTGCTGAGTAAAGGTCTCCTCTCACATGGAGAAGGTTTGACCATTACGTGAGACGGCTGGCAAACCCTTTCGGCATCAGGGCAAACCCATTCGGGTATGTTTATATCTTTTGTTGTTTTTGTTTGTTTTATTACTCATTTTGTCATCATGCGTGACGCATAAATTATTTTCATTAACTTTCTTAATGACCACGCTTGCTTAATACGGGTTGGCAATTTTAAACTAATAATTAGATTTTTTTTTAATAAACTTTGCCCCACATTAGGATTTTCTCCTGTGTCGTGGAGTGCGTTTACAAACATACAAGTTCACATACACAATGACACCCAGACCCGAAACAACAATTTGTGGACCACACAAAGTGTTGCTCCGTGCGGTAATCGAATCCGCTACACATTGAATGGCAGCCGGTTGCCCAGCCACCGCACCAACCGTGTAGTCAAAAGAAATGACAAAGACAGAAATTGTAAGTCCAAGTTCCCAAACAACGTTTTCCTTCACTGTGTCAGTGGTGTCTAAATAATGTTAGAAAGAACATATAACTCGGTCACATTAGAACTTGTCAGATTTTTAGCCGGTACTTTCTTCATTAGGAAGCGGGAACCATGTCCAGTTAACTGAGAACATCCAGTTAACTGTCATTGTTATGCGAAGGCAGCTACAATTACGAGCCCGTATTTAAGTTGTTAGCAAGAATCGTCGAGTGCA